TCGGGCCACCCTGCCTTGGTGGGAATCGGCCGGTGTGATAATAAAAAAATAAAATTTTTATTAATATTTTTCATACATTTGACTGCAGTTGCTGATGATGTAAAAGATACAGTTTACAGCAAAATGTGAATAGTTTGTTCAATTTTAATAATTGGATGAAAAGAAGCAAATTAGGACCAGATAAAGCAGAATATGACAACAGAGTAAAAGGGAGCATAGCAGAACACAATTCCAAAAGAGCCTACTAGAAAGTGCAGACTGAGAGAGTGGATTAACCCTTTCAGGGTTTCAGCTGTACTAGTACGGCTTACGCGCAAGGGTTTTTGATGTACTAGTACGCATAAATTCTAGCGCCGTCAAATCTCGCGTTAAAAGGCTGGTAGGCCTACATGTGAGAGAATGGGTCTGTGTGGTGGGTGTGCGCAGTAGAAAAAAAAATCTGGGACCCAGTGGTGCATTGTGGGAACGCCATCTTAGTAAACAATGTCCACCATGCCTCGCGGTAAAAAGTTCCTCACTCCTCGGCGAATTGGGACACTTGTTCCCCAGTGACAGTTCTAATACAGATGGAAGTGCCAGTGAAGATGAGTTTCAAGGTTTTGGTGAGGTTTTGACCGAAACTAATGACCATAACATCGGTAATAGTGAGGAAAACCCAGACGACCCTCAGCCTTCCACCTTTGGTGCTGGGCCGTCTTGTTCACGTTCAGTTGTACCAGCGTCAAAGAGGAAACTCCAATTTTCCCAAATCCCAGACTCAGATGTGAGCATTTGTGATGATAGTGATAGTGATTATGAACTACAAGCTCTTCAAACTAGTTCCAGTAGCGATAGTGAAGTGCAATATTCCCAAGTGAAGCATCAGTATATACGACGATATATGCACTCTCGTAGTGTGCCATATGCTATTCCAAGGGGAAGGAGTACATCTAGGAGTACATCCTATGACTGTACAACAGGAACTGACAGTGAAAATAATGATGATACTGTTGCAATTGGGATGAAAAATGTGCATGGTGGTGGTAGTGCCGGGCGTGAGGCAGCAGCAGTGGCCCATGCTGCCACCCACGCCGCTGCCTCAGCTGATCTACAACAAAGGCCACCATCCCCCACCCACCCACCACACCAGCCTCCACAACCACAACCTCCACAACCACCTGTCATTGTCCAGTACCCACCAGCAGACTGCACCTGGGATTGGCAGGAAGCTGTCAATTTTGTTCCAAATCCCCACCAGTTTGATGACAGCCAAAGTGGAATACGGCCATCCTGTACACCTGGGAACAATGCCAGTGAACTGGAATGTTTCAAGTTATTCTTTGACGAACCCCTGATGGAAAGTATTGTCGTGGAAAGCAACAGATACTACGAGTACACCATGGCAAACACAATACTTTCACCAAAATCACATCTACATCAGTGGAAGGAGACAACTGTGGCTGAGATGTATCGTTTCTTTGCCACAAAATGCTTATGCTACATGTGTATAAGCACAGTGTGAAATCATACTGGTCAACAGACTGCCAGGTTTCAGTGATATAATGCCAGTGAATCGATTTGTGCTAATGTTACGTATGCTTCACTTCTCAGACAAAGCCAGGCCTGACAGAAACGACAGGTTATATAAGATTAGGCATGTGTTTGTGTATCTGAAAGAGAAATTCATTATGTATTTTTATCCCTTCAGGAAGGTTGTAATTGACGAGTCTTTGATTCTGTTCAAAGGAAGACTCTCTTTCAAGCAGTACATACCAAGCAAGAGGAAATGCTTTGGTATAAAGTTGTTTGTGCTTTGTGATTGTTACAGTGGTCTGGTATTGGATGTTATTGTGTACAATGGAAGTTATACATTGCAAAATACAGTGGACCCCCGCTTAACGATCACCTCCAAATGCGACCAATTATGTAAGTGTATTTATGTAAGTGCGTTTGTACGTGTATGTTTGGGGGTCTGAAATGGGCTAATCTACTTCACAATATTCCTTATGGGAAAAAATTCGGTCAGTACTGGCACCTGAACATACTACTGGAATGAAAAAAGTTCGTTAACCGGGGGTCCACTGTACCAGGAAGTTATTGGGCATCTCAGGTGATGTGGTTAGAACAATGATAGAACCATACCTTGGTAAGGGGCATATATTATATACAGATAACTGGTACACAAGTCCCTTACTCAGTGATTTTTTTGCGAGTGAACATGACAGATGTATGTGGCACAGTGCATGCAAATCAGAAACATACACCCAGGTTTGATGCTGGCACTCGTAGAGGTGAGGTGCAGGCATTTGCTGCCAATGACATCATGGCATTTCGGTGGCATGACAAACGAGATGTCACACTGTTGTCATCAGTTCACCCTAATGAAATGGCAGACAGTGGCAGGCAGCATAGAGAGAGCAATGAACCCATTCTAAAACCTGCAGCTGTGATTGATTACACCTTCAATATGCATTCAGTGGACAAATGTGACATGCAGACTGGGTTTGCTGATTGTGTTCCCAAGAGTTATAAGTGGTACATAAAACTCTTTTTCCATCTTCTGGACATTTCCATGCTCAATGCTTATAATATGTATAAGATGAGGACCAGAAACAAACCACCATACGGCAAATTGTTTGTCTGTCATCAGACAAAGGAACAAAGGAACAGCACCTGCAATAGACCGCCCACCAAATTTTCAACAACTTCCTTCTCGTTTGAAGCATGGTGATCACTTCCTGGTAAAACTGCCTGTTACTGCTTTCAAGAAGAAGGCTCAGAAGAGGTGTTATGTCTGTGCACATACAAGAGAACGCCCACAACAATGCAGAGACGCTCGTTTTATGTGTGAGGAATGTAAAACACCACTGTGCATGACACTATGTTTCAAAGAGTTCCACAGGCAGCAGAACTTCTAGAAACATTGCCTGTGACTGTATATGTGTATATAAAATATAGAAAAATAGTAATAAAAAACATTTCATATCGTTTGTTTGTGTAAATATTTTTTGTAAACAAAACAATGACGAAAGTGTTTATGCCCTTATTGTGTAGTATTGAAAAAGAAATAACTTACAAAATACTGATCATACTGGTCTCACAGGCCATAAAAGTTACTTGGAAAAAGAAAAATTAAAAAAATAATAGAAATTAGTACAGTGGAACCTCAAATATCGAACTTAATCCGTTCCAGGAATTAGTTCTAAATTCGAAAAGTCTGAAAAGCGAAGCAATATTTCCCATAAGAAATAATGGAAATACAATTAATCTGCTCCGGAAACCCAAAAATATTCACAAAAAAATACATTTTATAAAGATTAATTATAGTTTTACATACAACAAATATAGTGTTCAATTATGTATTAATAATTTTAAATAAACATATAAAATAACATTTTTATTTATCTTTATTGAAGATTGGTGATGGCATCTGGAAGACAGGGAGGAGGAGAGAGGGAGTTGGGTGTTTCTCACTTTCTTTACCACAGGGGTACCACTAGCAAGTTTCTTTGGGCCCATGGTAGCTTATTTCACAGTCCTACAAGCACTAAACACAATGAAATAATCGTAAAATGTTTGAATGGGAGCGCAGGTTAGTGTTCACTCAGGCATCAACAAAAACCAGATTGGCTCAGGCCCTGAGCGCCTGCGTCAGGACGCGGGCTGCCGTACAGGTCTGGTACCCGGCGGTTCGAAAATAGGGGCGAGTTTGACAATAGGGACAAAGTTGGTTCAAAAAATGTGTTCTATTTTTGAAAAGTTCTATTAGTGATATGTTCGAAATTTGAGGTTCCACTATACATAAGAAAGTAAATAAAAGAATACCGGGTGACGGCAGTCGGCGATGTTGCCACATGGCGCCCCTTTTTCAACTTCACGCCTCCATATCTTGGTAAGTATTGATGGTAAAAATTTTTTGTTTAGCCTATAATGTTCAGAAAAATAAACTCTATTTTTTCATAAGAAAAATATTTTTTTTTTTTTTTTTTAAATTTGGCCAACCCTGAGAACAAGTCTATGACAGGGCCTGTCGACCCTGAAAGGGTTAAAGAGAAATCCCTAACAACTGCTTGATATTACAGTATTAGAAAATATGCTAGTTTAGTTTATAGGAACAATGTACAAAGATGAGGAATCCAGCATCCTAGAATGGTAACTTTCATGTGCTTAGTCTATCAGACTTGATAAGAGTACCAGACTATCTCAAAACCCTTCTCACTTCCTTAATTTTTCTTCTCTGTAGTGAACTGAGGAAGCCACTGGCTGATGAAGTGTCTCCATAGTAAAGACTCCCAAATGTTGCACAAGTATCTCACTCATCAACGTGATGGTTTTCTAAACTAATTATATAACATCTTCAAGAAAGCAAACTAATGACTCTACCAAAAAAAAAAAAAAAGTATACTAGAAGTCAGGCTTCAACCTCCTGTGTCAAATTTAGTGCAGGCAAGAGACAAAGGCAGGGAGGTAGAAAACTTGAGTGTATTACTAAATATGAAATTAAGTTCTCATAATTTTAGGGTGCAGTATATTAAAAATTTAGCCAGTAACTTCAGGGTAAGAAAAAAAAAATATGAACTTCATTAACAATAGGAAAGTCATTTTATTTCCTATATGAGGCAGATTAGGGTTATAATGCAACAATAAATTTAACTTCAGTGACCATCTGTTCATTTATTAGATTGATGGATCTCTGTCTTTGTTAATTATTTTGAGTAAGAGACATGTACCAGTTATAATGCAAGATAAAAGGCAATGAGGAAAAAGTAACAAAAGACAGTTGAAGCAGTAAGATGAACTAGGGCGAGCCCACTGACAATGAGATGCTATTTACTACTCTTTATCACTCTCTCACCTTAACACAACTCTTGTCCCATACACATCCAAAAACAATAAAAACTATTTGTAAGACACATGTGAGTTTTATTTTAGTCCAACATACTATGTTACAAGGAAGAACACTTGTTATACTATGTTAAAGAAATATTTAAACAAGACATTTATTCCTTTCATCATTTTACCTCTGAATTTGGAGTTTTGAATCCCACTGTAGCAGCACCACCAGGGACTTGGAGAGCTGGTAACTGCACCAAGGACAGTAGACATGACTGATTAAGTGCAAAGAGCTGAACATGAGGGGAAAGGAATACTTCTGAGGATAGTTCATCTCCCGAGAGTCCTGGGACATCATCACCTTCTACTACCAGAGAGGAGAGGCGTTGAGCTCCTACACCCAAGGGAAAATGCCACAGGTGGTTCATGATATGGCTAGTAATCTGCAAAGAGCATCCAATAATTAACTAAGGGAAATACTTCTACCTGTACCAGTAACTGAAGTTAAATATTAACCATTGAATTTAAGTGCAATTATTTAATCAGAGAAGAATTTTGTAAATACAATCATCTCTCACTTATTTCACATTTTCCCAAATTTAGAAAACAAAGCAGCATCGTAATTATGCTGCTTGTGTTGTGGTAGTCTGCTCTACATGCTTTTTCACAGCCCTGTTAACATGTGTTTCATATTTTATTATTAACCATGTCTCCTTGTGTTAATGTTGGTAGAATTACCAACAGTATCTTAGGTAAAAGGACACCAATGTAACTAATGTGACATTTTGTTGTGACAACGTTTCACTCTCCAGGAGCTTCGTCAAGCCGTTACAAACAATACGTGGACATAGAAGGTATACATAGGCTATGCGTGAGGTGTAAGGCACAATATAATCGTTGTAGTAGTTATAATACTAGTGGTGGTAGCAGTAGTAGTAATAGATGTGGTTGTAAAAGTCGATTAGCTCAAGAGTTAAAAATGTTATTAAAGCTAACTGCTTGGGTAACAAAAATAGGATGGGCAGATATTTCTGTTAGTGGTTAGGAGGAGGAACACTGAAAGAAGCCTCCTCAAATCCTACCCAGTAACAGAAATATTTTCCCAACCAATTTTTGTACTACCCAGCAATAAGCTTTAATAACCTTTAACCCTTAAACTGTCCAAACGTAGATCTACGTTTTTTCAACCTTTGAAAGTATGTAAAAAAAGTAGATCTTTTTTTGAAAACGTGTAAAAAAAATTGGATCTAATTTTTTTTTTGTTATACGTATTTGAAAATATGTCAAAAAACGTAGATCTACTTTTGGAGCACTACGCATGTGAACGTAGATCTGCTTGGGCAGTTTAAGGGTTAATAACCAATACTATGTTAGGTAAAAGGACACAAGTGTAACTAATGTGACATTTTATTGTGGCAAGTCGACTTTTACTACTGCATGTAATATTACTACTACTACTATTACCACTCGTATTACAACTACTAAAACTTTTACAGTGATTATATTGTGCCTTACACCTCACTCTTAGCCTATATATACCCTCTGTGTCCATGTATTATTTGTAATGGCTTGACAAAGCTCCTGGAGAGTGAAACATTGCCACAATAAAAATGTCACATTAATTGTACAGGAAGGCCCCACTTATACGGCTGGTTAGGTTCCAGGCTACCGCCGTAAAGCGGAAACTGCCGTAAAGTGGAACACCCTTTTTTTCCACTTACAAATGCATACAAACACTAGATAACAAGTTTACACTAACATATATTAAGTTAGCAATAGAACCAGGCATCAAAAAACAATAAAAAAGTACAATACACACATAGTGCACTCATTACTTACCTTAAAATATTTATAGTCTTAATCTAGGGTGAGACAAGTAGTATTTATTGTAAGAAATCAAGTGTGGTATGTATGGTAGTCAGCCAGGCTACCATACCAGGCCACCCCACCCACACATACAATTCTATGATATTTAAGCATCCCAGAGCGATAAAATGTATATACAGTTCACTCATTACTTACCTTAAAATATAGGGTGAGATGAGTAGTATTTATTGTAAAAAATCAAGTGTAGTATGTATGGTAGTCAGCCGGGCTACCATACCAGGCCAACCCACCTACACATAATATTCTATTACATTTAAGCATCCCAGAGCGATAAAATGTATATACAGTTCACTCATTACTTACCTTAAAATATTTGTAGTCTTAATGTAGGGTCAGAAGTAAGTAAATGAGATAAAACGAATAAATGAGAGAGAGAAAGAATGAGTGCATGAGAGAGGACAGGCACAGAGTTATGTAAACAAACCAGGCGAAGGTAAGTTTTGTAAACGAAGTGTACACGTCTGGTTTGTGTACAAGTTACAATGTGTACAGGTTGTCTCTACATTGATACGGTAGAATAAATAAAGAAGAACACTCCCATTCTCATGTAACATCATTTGAGAAGAAATGATGCTCTGAGTGAAGGCAATGGAAATAAGTCACTCTGACTTTTTTGGGTTATCCTAGGTTCTCTACACATATGTTGTTATGTATGATAATCTATGTAACTGTATTTGTGTATACCTGAATAAACTTACATACATACGAAAGGAATAATTTTCTACAGTTACCCCCAGTAACACATTTTCTCTTATGTTAGATTAGAGAAAATGTTATTCTTGGCATCACTTGTACAAGTTATCTGGCTACCACATCTCATATTTATGTTTATTTATTCTATTGTAGGGTGTATTTATCATCTTTTATGTTATGTATCGTGTTTATTATATAATTTTGAAAAAAATATCATGGATGGATTAATGAAAATGTGTATATTAACGTAATATACAACATTTAATGAGACTCGGTGATTATTATTATTATTAGCATTTCTAATATGGCGTCACTTGTGCAAGTCGTCTGCTACCACATCTCATATTTATGTTTATTTATTCTATTGTGGGGTGTATTTATCATCTTTTTATGTTATGTATCGTGTTTATTATATAATTTTGAAAAAATATCATAGATGGATTAATGAAAATGTGTATTTAACGTAATATACGACATTTAAATGAGACTCGATGATTATTATTATCATTACTAATATGACGTCTGGAGACATAAGACACACTTACTGATTTTAATGTGTACCTGCATGCCAGCACAGTATGTAAATTTATTTAAGTACAGGTATACATAAGTATAATTATCAGAGTATATATAAAATAAGAAATAACTTTTAAAAACATTTGAAATTTTGGAGTTTCCAGACAAAATGGAGAGACTTAGTGCTTACTGAGCTCACGAAGAATGTAAACAAACAAAATGGGGCACGGTGACCGTATTAGAAAGTCAGGTGGGGGGAGCCGTATAGCGAGTTTTGGTCATAATTTGAAATGACCGTATTAGCGGAATGCCGTAAAGTGAAACGCCGTAAAGTGGGGCCTTCCTGTATTTGTGTCCTTTTACCTACCATGTCTCCTTGTTTGGACAAAGGAAGGTGTGGTGAAAGTCATTAACCCTTTGACTGTCGCAACCCCAAATCCTGAGGTGTCTCCATGGTGTCGCAAAATATTTTGAAAAAAAAAAAAAAAAAAAAAAAAAAAATCATGAAATAACAGAGAATCTTTTTCCGATGGTAATGACTTCAAAAGTACAAAATTTTATGCAAAACTTACAGAATTACGCTCTCACGAAGTTAGCGACCTCGGTAATATTTACGAATCGGCGATTTTGCCCACTTTGAGCCCTATTTGCGGCTAATTCCATTGTTCCAGTTGACCAAACTCACAGCTACTTCTTTGTAACTCCATTTGTTCTATCGATTGAGTACAAGAAAAACTGCCCATTTACCAATTTCAACTACCCAATAAAGTGGTCAGAAATTGGCAATTTGGCCAATTTCATGCAAATTAAAAATATGCCAATTTCAAAATAGGGTCCAGAATGAACAATGCAGACATTCCTGGCTCTAAAGTAACATTTTCTTTGCTTATCAGTCATGTCTCCAGGCCCTTCTGACATTACTCTTGCTTTCTATTTTGAATTTTTATTGAAACAAAAAGTAGAAGATTTACTGTTATGCAGACTACTGCAATATTTTAATAATTGTATAAATAATGTCAAACCATTCATGACTGCATATTAAAATCACTAATCGGACATTTATTGCTCAATGACATCATTTGTTTACTCTTGAACATCAGCAAAAATCAAACATTTCCCCTACTTTGAGCTCCATTTCAAGGTCCTTTTCATAATAAAACCAATCAAAATTACCTCCATTTCTATAATATGTTTTCCATTCTATCAAATGTGACTATGAAAATGAGAATATAACCATAAAAACTATACGAAAATACACTTCAAAGTCGGCATTTTAATCCGAAAACACGGTCGGAGTTTTTTCTTTCCCATTATGCACTGCTTGCTGCAGGATTTTCTTATACTGCACATACTGACAACACAGACCCATTCTCTCACATGTGGGCCTACCAGCTTTCTCCTGCTTGATTTGAAGCCGCTAGAATTTTTGAGTTTACAGTAGACCCCCGACATACGATGTCCCCCAAGCTACGTAAAAACGGACCTACGATGCATTTCAGCGTAAAAATTTGACCCCGGCGTATGGTGAAAAACTCGACCTACAGCATTCGTCCCGTACGCAACTCCACGTGTCTGTCCGCTTGAGAGTGCCTCAGCTGGCCTGCCTTCAGTTAGTGTGCTAATGTTTACAAGCCAGAGCGGTCGCTCCCACGCATATATTCGGAACATTTTGTATTATTCCAGTGCTTTTAGTGCTTCTAACTGCTATATAAGCCACCATGGGCCCAAAGAGAGCTTCTAGTGCCAACCCTGTGGTAAAAAGGGTGAGAAATACTATCGAAATACTATCATACCATGGTCAGCTGCTGCTGCACCACGGTCAGCTGCTGCTGCTGCTGTAGCACCGTCAGTTGCTTCTGCACTACGGTCAGCTGCTGCTGCTGTAGCACCATCAGCTGCTGCTGCACCATGGTCAGCTGCTGCTGCTGTTGTTGCACTGTCAGCTACTACTGCACTGTGGTTAGCTACTGCTGCTGCTGTAGCACTGTCAGCTGCTGCTGCTTCTGCTGCTGCTGTAGCACCATCAGCTGCTGCTGCTGCACCATGGCCAGCTGTACTAGTCGAGGATGTGGAGACTGTTGTTGGTGTGGCTTACTGAGAATACTGAGAAACAATTAACCCCAGAGGGTTAGCCATCTATGATAACTCAAGAAAGTCAGTGAGTCATCGAGGACTGTAACTTATTTCCATTGGGGTCCTTAACCCTTAAACGGTCCAAACGTATATATATGTTCTTACGTGTAGTGCCCCAAACATATATATACGTTCTTACGTGTAGCGCCCCAAACATATGTATACGTTTTATTTTTCCTGCCTTCAAATTTGGCACGATTGGCCTGAGATGCCT